ATATACTGTTGTTTTATTTTAATTCTCAATTTATGTAACTGTTGCATGTTGTATGTCTAAATGTAATAAATATAATTATTATTCTTAAAATAAAAATATATGGTTAACCCTATACAGATACTTGATTTATCCATGTGATCACTGTCATTAACTTCTTTAATGTCTATGTTCAGCACCAAACACAGTGTGGTATGTGGGAGCAAATAACTGCACACAGACACAAGGTGGGGTTTAAAATTGCCACACATTTACTGGTTACAGTTTATTGAGATCAGCATGGTAAGATAGGTGCCATCCTGCACTGAAGATTGTGGGTGCCCACAACGAAGGGCTTCAGTTTTGCCCATTGACTTTGTTATGCCCAGTGCATAACTGTCAACTTACAGACTTGAAAATAAGGGACCAGCAGCCTCAAAAATAAGGGATCAGCAGCCAAAATAAGGGATTTTGCTTAGCTTATACAGAAATCCGGCACTCATGGAGCCATGCTGCTTTGGCTGCAACTGACTGTGTTTTGCAGGGGGATGGAATACCGTATTTTTCGCTCTATAACACGCACCTGACCATAACACGCACATCGTTTTTAGAGGAGGAAAACAAGGGGAAAAATTCTGAATGAAACAGTGGATGTATCATTTTTGTGCTTCATGCTGTGGCCACAGACATGTGATCTGATGGTGAATTTGGGGTAGCTCAATGCAAAGATCCTGAGGATCCATGTGGATCCATGCTTTTAAACCACATTTTTGCACCATTGCAGCCCCAGGCAACAGTGGGTGTGTGATTTTTGGGGGGCAGGCTGCTATGTGATCTGATGGTGAATTTGGGGTGGCCCAATGCAAAGATCCTGAGGATCCATGTGGATCCATGCTTTTTAACCACGTTTTTGCACCTTTGCAGCCCCAGGCAACAGTGGGTGTGTGATTTTTGGGGGGCAGGCTGCTATGTGATCTGATGGTGAATTTGGGGTGGCCAATGCAAAGATCCTGAGGATCCATGTGGATCCATGCTTTTTAACCACATTTTTGCACCATTGCAGCCCCAGGCAACAGTGGGTGTGTGATTTTGGGGGGCAGGCTGCTATGTGATCTGATGGTGAATTTGGGGTGGCTCAATGCAAAGATCCTGAGGATCCATGTGGATCCATGCTTTTTAACCACATTTTTGCACCATTGCAGCCCCAGGCAACAGTGGGTGTGTGATTTTAGGGGGGCAGGCTGCTATGTGATCTGATGGTGAATTTGGGGTGGCCCAATGCAAAGATCCTGAGGATCCATGTGGAGTGCAACAGTGGGTGTGTGATTTTTGGGGGGCAGGCTGCTATGTGATCTGATGGTGAATTTGGGGTGGCCCAATGCAAAGATCCTGAGGATCCATGTGGATCCATGCTTTGTAACTACATTTTAAGTGGGGAGTGAAGGAAAAACACAGAAGGGACAAGAGAGCGGTGTGCAGAGAAGCAGCTGGCTAAGAAAGCAGGAGAGGGATTTTACGGGAGGGAAGAAAGAAAGGCAAAAGTTTCCACAAACCGAAGCCAGCTTTCTCTCTCCTCCTGCATGTTTTCTGGCTGCCTGCGAGGAGCACGGAGAGGAATTACCGGATTACCGGTAGAAGGAAAGACCTCTGCTTTCCCCTCTGCTTGCCTGGAGGGGAGGGGATTTGCCTGCTCTTTGTTCTGTTTGAGCAAACACAGCAACGAAACAGAGGAGGGTGGGCAGTAAGACCCTGAGGCAGAATGCAGGAAAGCAACCACTTCCTCTTTTCAGGTTTCCCTCTCTCGGACACAACGCACAATTGATTTTTGCTGATTTTTGTTCCTGCGCTCCCCTAATCGGCTCCAGGGACCCCCCCCCACATTCGCTCCATAACACGCACAGACATTTCCCCTTCCTTTTTAGGAGAAAAAATCTGCGTGTAATAGAGAGAAAAATACGGTAGGTGATCCTAAGGGTCTACGACTCCGACCAAAGAAGAGTGGTGGACAAAACTGATGAACGACGTCGAGATGGCAAAGCTTACAGGCAGAATTAGAAACCAAGAAGAGGACCTCTTTAATGAAGAATGGGGAAAGTTTATCATTTATTTGAAAAGCTATTGTAAAGAGTTACATACATTGGCAGGATTGACAGAAAACTTGTAGTAAAAATTTGAACTATGGATGGACAAATGATTTATAAAAACAGAGTTATGAAAGGGATGCAGAGGGGGAAATCACTTCATTAAGATGCTGCACTGGTTGGAGGGTATGCTAAGCAGCACGTTGGGGCTGCCATTGTCCTGGTGCGAGGAGTTCCATCGGCCCTTCCCCGCCCGAGAGGGAGGGAGGGAGGGAGGGAGAGAGACTCTTGCCCACACCACCTGCGAGCCCGGCTTGAGGCGGTTGCGGCGGCGCTGCAGCCTCTGAAGCTCTGCCCTTCTGCGTACCTCCCCATCCCCTCCTCTTCCTCCTTCCTCAGGCCGCCTCCTCGGCTCCACCACCACTGCCGCCTCCGGCTTCCCCTGGCAGCGCGGTGGAAGTCTTGCAAGAGAGGGCTGCCTGCCCACCCACCGCCACCTGTCTCCTCACGACGCACCCCTGAGGGGGAAAAGGGAGAGACGGCAGCTCGTGCGCACGCTCTCTCAAGGCGGAGGACCCCGAGCCGCTGCTTCCCTCCCAAGCCAGGCGAGCATGAAACCCAGGAAATTTAAGGGACATCATCAATAAGGGACAGCAGTGGGACACGGCTCTGGGATAATGGAGTTTCCCGCAAAATAAGGGACGGTTGACAGCTATGGCCCAGTGCATGGTAAGGAGTAAAGATTCATTCATTAAGAAGAAGAAGAAGAAGAAGAAGAAGAAGAAGAAGAAGAAGAAGAAGAAGAAGAGGAGTTTGGATTTGATATCCCGCCTTTCACTCCCCTTCAGGAGTCTCAAAGCGGCTAACATTCTCCTTTTCCTTCCCCCCCACAACAAACACTCTGTGAGGTGAGTGGGGCTGAGAGACTTCAAAGAAGTGTAGCCCAAGATCACCCAGCAGCTGCATGTGGAGGAGCGGAGACGCGAACCCGGTTCCCCAGATTACGAGTCCACCGCTCTTAAGCACTACACCACAGCAGTTTGGTTGCTGGCTGATGTCCCCATCCAAACCCATATCCTGGGATAACATTAAAGGGAGTTGCATTTTCCATGCTCCACCCCCTGACACTAAGAACCCACCTTATTTCTATGACTGTAAATTTCTTTGAAATGTTATCAATATTGTGCTTTAATTGTTGTAACCCTCTCTGTGGCCTTTACATTAAGTACTAGGAGGTCATAATATTTACTCATGTCTTCCAGGTCATATTTAAGATGAATACTCATACGTGGGTCAAGATAGTTCAAACTGGGGGCCTCTTTTTATATAAAGTTATGCAACTTCACTGATCCACAGAAATAAACCACAGAATAAATTTAGATCAGCACCCATCGTTACAATGTATATTGAGACGCATGTCCTAAGCAAGCATGGTGAGAACTTTCAGCAGGTGACAAAAGTAATTATTTCTATTCATTAATCTAACAAAAGTTGCAGCAATAGCACATAGCCTGGGTGGACATATTGCAAAAACGTGGTAATTCTATTTTTGAGATCGCTGATTGTTACCATTAGGCATTCTTACTGGATCTGTTGCAGTAGCTGAGATGTCTGCAAAAGACAACCTACATAAACAAATGAAAACTTATGCCTCAGAATGTTTTTTTGGGGGGGGAGCATAGTTACCCCTTTTTTAAAGTGAGTTGCAAAAAGATTTTTAAAAAACAGTGCCAGTGCCCAGCTATTTTGCACCCTTGGCAAGGCTAACTACTTGCCCCTCCCCCCATTTTTTTTTATTAACTTCAATTTTCAAAAACAGATGTTGTTTAAAAAATACAAAAAGCACAAAACTTGAAACTGCTAAATTTATTTTAAATTGCAAGACTAAGTAATACGGCAACCTTTGGTTACCTTTCTGAAATGCATGAAGTAAGGTACATAAACCTGTTGAAATAACTGCAGCTCTCAATTATAGTTGTATGTACACATAAGAGTCATGATAAATAAAGTCAAATATCATTCAGATTTAATATTACACACGACATGCCTTCAAAAATGCTTTTTAAAAGCTATTCTCCTTGTTTTGTTTATGTTCTTATTAAACTTCTCACCTGCTCTTCAGCAGCAGGTCCAGGTTGGGTTCCAACAGTTTAAAAAATCAGTATTAAAAACAGTGAAAATAAATTTACTGCCACAGGAAAAGGGAGGGTCCTATTGTGTGCAATTCCTCAGGGGGTGTGTGTAAATCCTCAGTACAGGAAGAAACAGGAAGTGGTGTCAGCATGGCAATGTCCCTTCCTCAACTGCCATTTTACAAAATCTTTTTACTCAACCTGTAGTGGAGGCACTGAAACTCACACTGGATGAATGTAGGAATACGGAGTTCCTCATCTGAGACATGAATGCCTACCCATATTCTGCCACTGATAGTCTCAAGATATTAGTAAGTGTATTAAGCACTTGAAGGCTCTTTGGTTAATTGCCACTTACGTACTTTCAAAAGCCAAGTAGCGATGGATGTATCCACAGATTTGTAATGCTTTAGCCAACAGTCAAGCCAGAAGCTTATTGGTTACAGCTTACAGAGAGACCGGCACGGTATTATCATCAGATAAAATCTATTTTCACCAGTTCCCAAATCCAATAAGGACACACAATGGGTGGAGAGGTTCAAGTCTTTATTGCTATAGGAATAGTGGCTCGGTTTGGGTTTCTTTCCAAAAAGACTAAACAAAAGCAACAACTCAAAAGTAGAAGTTACAGATAGGTAGCAGTGTTGGTCTGCCATAGTCAAAACAAAAACAAAATTCCTTCCAGTAGCACCTTAAAGACCGACTAAGTTAGTTCTTGGTATGAGCTTTCGTGTGCATGCACACTTTTCATGTATCTGAAGAAGTGTGCATGCACACGAAAGCTCATACCAAGAACTAACTTAGTTGGTCAAAAGTAGAAAGCATTTATACAGGGTTGCAGAGCACGACGCCACCCATGCCTGATTCCTCCCACCCCTCCCAAGCTTGCTCTTGACACATGGGCACGAGGTACCAATTGCTGATAAGGCAAAATGCTTGCTTGAAGCCCTATCTGATTTGGTGGTTGCTCTTCTACTTGCAAAGCAATTGCTTTTAATACAAACTTTTGTGCTTGCTGCTGGGCTGAACTGGTAGTTTTAGCCTGGAACCAGAGAACACAGGAAGTTAGGTCACTATACAGAGTCAAATCATTGGGTTCATCCAGCTTGGTGATGTCCACACTGACCAGCAGCAGCTCTCCATGCTTCAGAACTGGGTATTTAAACAGGAGCTTCTTAAAGGCTTTCCCCCTTCCAGCATTGGGGGGGGGGGCAGGAGTTCAGGCAGTTCTAGACATGGTGCTGTTGCTTGCTGCCTCCACTTAAGATGTTTCACTCTTTGACACTGATAAGCGGAACTTCTCAAGTACAAACCAGGACACCCAATTTTTGGATTGACTTGCTTAGGCAGGACAAAGCGCAGCCTTTCGGAAATTCCCCCGGGACATCAATTCCGCCTTTGAAACCTGGTAAGATCCGGACATATGGCTGCCCTAGTTTACAGGGAAGGGACAATTGTCTCCTTATCTGAAATCTGACAGCTGCTAGTTTATCAGACTGCTGCATAAAAAAAATATTTCTGGAAACAAACAAACAAAAGGATGTCAGGAACTGGTGTCAGTCTTGCCATTTGCCCAACCATGCTGGGTGCTGACACTGGGCCTGATTATTAATCAATCAATCAATCAATCAATCAATTAAATTTCTATACCACCCTTCATCCGAGGATCATAGGGCCTAGTGGTGGTTGACCTCTGTGGTGCCACTCCTTGCCGTCGATAAATTTGGGAAAAGGAAAGGTGGTGAGGAGGGTTTAGGGTTTATCACCCCTGTGGTAATCAATTAATCAATAGATTAATCTACTAACAATCGCAGTCCTACCACATATCCAGACTAGATGAATATATGCACCAGAAAGAAAAAGCAATTGATAATATTGATTATTGTTGCTTTGCTGCTGTTGCTTTGCTGCAGTTGCACTTCCCAAAACTTCACACTTGGGTTCTTTATTCTGTCTATGGAGAAAAATCCATAGGATCATAGCGTGGAGGAGCAAGATTGTTTTCTGTGGGAATCAAGGCATCACTGCTGACAGAGTTTGGCACAAAAACCATTGCCTGCAACATTGAAATTCAGAAATTCAGTATAAGAAATACAGTCATACCTCAGGTTAAAGACGCTCCAGGTTGAGCGTTTTCAGGTTGTGTCCCATGGAGACCCAGAAGTAACGGAACAGGTTACTTCTGGGTTTTGCCACTCGTGCATGCGCAGACGCTCAAAATGACATCACATGCATGCGCAGAAGCGGTGAATCACAACCCACGCATGCGCAGATTGCGTTCTGCTCAGGTTGCGAACGGGGCTCCGGAACGGATCCCGTGCGCAACCAGGGATACCACTGTACTTTTCTTGTCATCATTTACTTACCGTTGCGTGGCTATTCCCTCCCCCCCCCCACAGGTGGAATAAATAAAGACACTAGACACGAGCATTATGGTTAATGGGCGAAAATGGCCACAACTTTATTGATTACAGGTAAGAAGGGTATTGGCTTTAGGCATTGGCCCCTAACCGACTATCCGGTCTAACCGGGAAGGGTTAAACACCAACAGGGGGAGCCACCCGAGATGCATATCCCTAGGCGCTCCCCGAGGGGTTACCGCTCAGGAGCGCGCTTTAGGCCCTAGCCTCCGTAGGTTTCGGACGAGGCGTCGCCCCTCGGAGTCCTTTAACGAACTACCCTTCAAGCATTGGGGGAGGTGATGGCGTTCCTCCCCCCCGATCTCATTTGCATGAGAATACCCCAGCCAATGCCTACCGCCAAAACCGAGGGAGTTGTGACGATTTGCTACGAGGTAGGCGAAAAAACCAAGTGGCTCCAAAAACCAGCCAATTAGCCAAATGGAAAAACTCCTACCAGGCCCCTTGCGGCGACCAGCCGAAGCCCATAGCAAAGTCAATGGCAGACCTAAAGTGCGGGTGGGTGGGAAACCGCGTCAGCTGCAGGGAGAAAAGGGGCGAGCCAAGGGCCTTAAGTGGCCTCGGAAAGGCCCGCCCCCGCCGCCAGCCGATTGGCTGGCGCGTGGGGGATGCTAATTAGGGGAATCCCGGCTTCCCGCGAGGCTGGAGCCAGCCCCACGGGAGAGTGGGCGGGGTCGTGAGCCCGCAACCCCCCCTCCTCCTGAAGATCGGTAGGGGCATTGTCATCATGATGGATTACCTCAATACAGTTTGGTTTCTGTTTTGTGTGAGTTTGCCTGTAAGTTCGCTCTATCACAGTTCTGTACAAAGTAATTTAGGTGTAGTGGCATACCTATCAGCTGTGTATGTATTACCATTTACTCTGGCTCCAGAGTGCTCACACTGCTGGTGTTTGAAGCCACGGTCACATGACATTAACCACAATCCATATCTACCCTGTGTAGTTTCTTGAGAAATGCTGGTGTTTGGCGTGTTTCCCCTCAAATCCATCTGACTGGAAAATGTAAGTCACAGTTAAGTTAAGGTGTATACATTTGTAATAGCCAATGTGTATGCACAGATGACAGTACATGTGCAGGGGACAGCTTTTAGTGAACAAGAATTGTGGTGGGGGGGATTGCAGGTGTGGGAGAACCGAGTAGGTAATGTGCATTGAATGAATACATCCTCACACCATTTCTAGCACATAATGCAATGGGGGGGGATGACCTCACTGCATTTTCCGTTAATGTCCACACCACCATGTTAATATTTATTTACTTGATTTATTTTTATTATATATTTGTTAAAAAACAAAATGAGAATATAAATGGCACAAAAACAAACCAATAACCCACAAACACATTTAAAAGGCCACAGAATGTTAATCAGCCAGAAGCCTGGTCATAGAGAAATGTTTTCGCCTGGCGCCTAAATATATATAATGATGGCTCCAGGGGTGTGTGTGTGTGTGTGTGTGTGTGTGTGTGTGTGTGAGAGAGAGAGAGAGAGAGAGAGAGAGAGACCCATGCCACTCCTTAAAGGCTAGAATATATAAACATGGGAAACGAAAAGTCAACTTTTCCTTGGGATCCTCAATAAAGTCTGCTTGAACTCCAAGCAAGTTATCAAGCGCTTACCGTCTCAAGATTATAGAAGTTCTCCTGGCACCCAATGTGTGACATCAGAACGGTGATGCAGAACTCCAGCAAGCTGAACAAGAGGAGCAGGAAAGAGAGACCAAAGCCTATGTTCTGCAAAATAAAAGAAGTACCTTTAATCTCTCTCTCAGCCCTTGTAACTAATTCAGCCACAACATTAGAAAGTGTGCAAGTAACCATCTTCTGGATGCTACTGAGTTGAAGATGTAAGTGAAAAATTTGCCTTGGAAACCGATGACAATTATCTGGTCATGAGTTATGCCTCACATAGATGGAAAAACCTACTGTATTGGGGTGGGGAATTATAATGCTGCACACAGTGCTATTTTTCTAGAAAAAGAGGTGCTGGAACTCACCATGAACTTCTCCCTTGTTCTCTGAGAATGCCAATGGCATTCTATCCAGAGAGATGCCAGAACTCAGTTCCAGTGAGTTCCTGCTGAAAGAAGCCCTGGCTGCATCTAAAACTGTGCTAACTAGCACAAGCTCTTGCAAAACAAAACTGCCAGTAGACCTGTTGTTGGATTCCTTAGATGTGCAACCATGAGAAAATAGGTGCCTGGTAGCAAAAGGTTTTCTGAAACAGCAGGCAGCATATCTCCATTCTAGTTGATTATTATAATAACCTTGTTAACATTAAGGATTTGGCGCCTCAGTTGGTGTATCCCTCTCCCCTCCCTAGCCTTTTAAAATATTATTATGTCTTTTGATATTCTATGCCTGAGGGCAGAGGAGGTGTTGCCTTCACTGACCTATAAGGCACTCTGGGAGCAAGATGGTTCTGTCCAGCTTGCCAGAATGCTTAGTTTCTAAAGCTGCAGCCTAAAATGCAAAAAAGGGGGATGCATGGATAGAAGACTCAAAAGTGCAGCTTGAACTTTGCTTGCTATTTTCACTTAGAACTTGTTGGAAGGACAACGGCAGAAATCATTCCATGTGCAACTCAAGGGTTAATTCTGTCAACTAGCCAAGAGGGGGGCGGTAGAGATGTTGCTTAGCAACCAGGCAGAGCGGCATGATATTTGCTGAGGTAGTATATGCCCTGATTGGCTGTGTAGTTCTGAGGGAGCTTTTCCTCTGCATGTTTGTTTGAATGTCTCTCTGCTATGAATGAGGCCTGAAGTAACAAACAGAAAACCCCTGTTTATTTCTCCTCAAATTATTGTTGCTGCTGAGTTTCCTCAGTAAAATGTAACCAGGCTTTCTTTTCTTTCTGGATTCCATCTGCATTATTTAAGTGATTTGGTTACCACTGCTGAAGAGATTAGTTGACTTTCAGATTAAATAGTAGCTGGTCTCTTTGGCAGTGGGAACTGCAAGCATAACTCTGTGTATGTGTTTTTCCATCTCTTTATACGTATTACCAGTGCTTTTTTTCTAAAAAAATGTTTAGGGGCAAAGAGTCTAATAGGCCAGCGCCTGAAAGACATTGAACGACAAAACAACCTGACTATCTTAAAGAAACTGTGCCCATGGTATACCTACTTTCCCCCTTCTCATTTTGACTCTCCAGCTTCATATTTGTCTAAACTAACCATCCCAAAATACAGACGTGCCTTTACATTGGCTAGATGGGATGTTCTTCCCTCTGCTGTACTCGAAGGTCGTTACCAAAAGACTCCATTTGAAAAACGACTCTGCCCATGTGGAGATGGTAACACGGAAACAGTGTCCCACGTCCTTCTTTCTTGCCCCCTTTACAAAGACCTAAGGAATGAGATTATTACTCCACTCATTCTCTCCAACCCCGGCCGTTCACCAGACATTACACTGTATTTTCTATTATCTGATACGGATAGTCAGATAACAGAGAAGGTCGCGAGGTACATCGAGAGAGCTGCGAAATTGAGGGCCACCATCTGAGTGACAGACCTGTTCACCCGACGGACCTCCTTTTGCCTGTTCTTTTCTTCCTTTTATCCCTATTTTCACTTTTAACTCTTGTACAGCTGTGGCCTGTTGGCTTTGCTAATAAAGTTTTGATTTGATTTGATTTAGGGGCACTCTCATTTTCATACCCATATTGAAATACTGCCCCTCAATGATGCCAAACCTAGATTCACAAAATGTTTAGGGATATGCATACCCCTGCGTCGTCCCCCCCCCCCAGAAAAAAGCACTGCATATTACTGTTAGCGTTCTTGTTCTTATTCTATTATTTATTCGTTGCTTTACTCATAAAAGTGACTCAGAACAACTTACAAACACAACTGATATGTGAAAATCAATTACAATAAACAGAATAAATGAAAACCTAAAAAAACAAACACATCTATACAAATAAAGGGGCCACTAGGGGCGCATCGGAAGATGGCTGACAATAACATCTCTCCGACCCACAGGAGGTAATTAGGAGGCTGTGATGGGAGTAAATAGCCTCCCTACCCCCCCCCAAGGTTATGGGGGCAGGCTGCCCTTGCCTGCTGTGCCCTATACCACCCCCGAATTTGTGGGGATGGGGGCACTAGGCAGAATGCCCTCCTGTGGATCTCGGTGCTCCTGGACGCTGTCTCTGATCCACACCGCTAGCTGCAAAAACTTCAAAAGGAACAATTAGGAAGAAGCGAATGCACATATTTCAAGGAAGGAGGGGGAGTAAAGACTGCTAACTGAAGAGTTCTCTGATAAACAAGACGAGTCGGAGGAACAAGAATCAATCATGAGAAGATATGCCAAGACTTGGTATGGCAACGGGACTGGGTGGGGGAAGGGGAAAAAACTTTCCTTTCTTTCCTCTATGTGATTAAACAAGAATCCGCCCGCCCTCACAAGTCAGAAATGCCGTTTTAATGACTTAAGCTGTGGATTTACGACTGTGTGGAGATAAATTTTCTAACCAAAGCATGTTTTAAGAAGAGCGTGGAAAATTTAAGAGTTTTGGAATGACGCAGTTAAAAATACCATCGCCATGTTGGTAAGCTCTGTCGGAGGACTTGAGTTTGGGAGGAGGAAAAGAGCTGTTTTTATATTGTGGGTGAGACTCCTCAGTGGGACTTAAGAACGACAGATCCTGAGATTAATGATGGAAAGAGCGATGTTATGTATGAAAGTGATGATATATGGAAACCATCTCGATATGAGGATTGGATGAATGGAAAAATCCACACAGGATATAATTGGTGTTTATCTGCTTAAGGAGATTATCAGAAGAGATCATAAAGAAAAAAAGGAAAAATATACGAACAAGATGAGATGTGGAAACAGCAAGATAAGACTGGATAGAATTATGAACTTTATTTGGACTGATCTGGATATTAACGCAGTAGCAAGAAGATGATCAGAATCCCCCTTCGGAACTTGAAATATGGGTCCCCTCAACAAAAATTTAAAATTCAGCTTTGTAATTCGGAATTTATGTGATATGATTTGATTTGATTGGTCGGTTAATAAAAATTATTTTAAAAAAAACAAAAAACACATCTATACAAATAAAAGACTACTCTGGCAGATCCTGCCCAGTCAAAGGAAGTCCCAGATATTAAACACCCTTCAAACTAAGGGACAAAGAGGGTGCAAGTTTTGTCTGGCTCCTAAAACTGGACAAAGAGGGTGCCAGATGAGCCTCCCACAAGTGGGGAGCTACCACTGAAAAGGCCTGATAATGTGTTGCTACTCTCCAAACCTCCCATGGAGGGGGCGCACTGAGCAGAACCTCAGAGGATGATCGCAGGGTCTGGGTCGTTTGGGGAGATGTGGTCCTTGAGGAACTGGGGACCTGAGCTGCATAAGGTCAAAACAACCACTTTGAATTGAGCCCTTCTTGGATGCTACCCAGAAAATAAGTTCTGCACGGAATGCTGCATTCACTTACCTGTGACCAATAATAAGGATTGCCTCGATTGAAAGCCAGATCACTTATATATAGAATGGTGCCAGCTGCTGACATTACAGAGCTTGTGATGTGCATTCCCACACTGCACTTCGCCTAAATCAGACAGTCAAAGAGCCAGTTTACTAAAAATTACAGAGACAGAATGCAGGTCTCCTGAAAGACAAATCATTTATTACTTACTGACTGACTTTGTTAGTTGCTTTATGTTGTTTAGGGTAACGCAAAGCAACGTAAAGCAATTTATCCAACAAATAGAGTCACGCTCAGTCCATGAGAAGCTAAGCATGAGTTCTGCAAGTAGCCTGAATTTCAAGCTGTATTGGAGTTTTCCTCAAGGGTCATTTAAACCCAGAGAAAAACTGAAGTGGCTGAGGGCACTGTGGTGGCAGTGAACTAAAAACACAAATACAAATTAACATAAAGGCATATCACAATTTAAAAGCAATTTAAGACAACCAAACCCTACCCCAAGTAAAACGACACCTAGCCCCATTAAACACTAACTTAAAACGATCAAAACAATTAAAAACAGTTTAAACGTTTCAGATAGTTGGAGCCATGGAAGCATACCCCAACCCCAAGGTCCGTTCAGCTGCCTCAGTTGTATTTCATCAGTCAGTCTGGGTCTCAGCTGCCCTCCTAGGCCAGATGGACATGGTCTGCCTGCCAGGCAGGGGACAGGTCAGGCGAGGCTCACAGCCACAGGTCTCAGGCCAGAACAAGGTGGGCTCTGAGGCATAGGGAGCAGTGGGAGGTATGCCCTAGGAGGCTAAGGCAGGCCAGGACCCACAGCCCGGGTGGGGCTTGCTAGCTTGAGGAGAAGGTGAGGGTCAAGCCCAGATGCAGCAATCCACATGCAAGACAAAAAAGTGAAGCAAATTTGGCCAGGCCTTTTGGGTTTGTGGCACAAAACCAGCACAACACTTTGGCACTAGTTTGGCACTTTGGAGTCAAATAGGACGAGGTTGGGTTTGTTAGCTCTTTACTTGTGACACCAGTTTGAGTGTCTATTACTCAGTTTAGGGGGTGGCACAAAACGTGGGCTTGCAGCACAAAATGGCACAAAAATAGCACAAAACATTGGCACCTGTTTGGAGTCAATTCAACAAGGTTGTACTTTTTGGCATTAACTTGTGAGCCCAATTTGCTTTGTCAGTTACTCGGTTTGGGGGGCAGAACAAAATGTGGGGTTCACAGCAGAAAACAGCAGAAAGCTAGCACAAAACTTTGGCATTGGTTTGGGGGGGATGCAGAATTTTAGGGTCATACATAAATGAAGATGCATTTATCATTACTGCTAAACAAATTAATATTTCTCCTTTACTATCAGTAGAATGATCAGTAGTGCTTCCCAGCCATTAAGATTGACTGTTATAGATCTTTCTCTCTCACCAGACAGCGTGTTTGATGTTTCTCTGCTGACATCGACATGCTTCCTGAAACAATGAACTGTACAAAACAAGGGGGGGAAATATGTGTTTAACTGCAGCTCACTTCAAAAAATCCAAAACATACTCTCTACTGAGAAAATAAACTGAGTTATAATGAGATAACAGTACCTCTTCTCTCTTTGTTTTATTGTGTAGATTAGTCACACCAATCACACATTCTCTACATACGAAAGGTCAACAGCTTGATAAGAGTTAGAAAATAGATACCCTTTTACATTTCCGGATTCATAACCAGAAACACAGAAAAACAATGGCTCTCAAAGGTAAATGAAATACTACTTACAAATGCTCCACCCCAAAATGGATAACCTCCAACAGCAGCAAAAGATATATAGGAGTGACCAATAAGAAAAAGTAGGAGTGCTCCAAAGCCAATTTGCATTAATCCAATTAAGATCTGAACAGTCTATGGGAAGAAAATGTACAAACAAGGTAAAATAATTCTGCTCGTTCCTCAAAAAACATGAATTTTTACTCTTTAGCACAATCTGAAAAACACCCAGAAAGATTGGTCTGTCTATTCCTTTGGGTAAATAAAAATTTTAAAACAGGATAACTTCTCAAGAGGCTAGAGAGAACACCAAGTGCATATAGATATATAAGTGCATAAAGGTGGGGTGAGAGAAATTCAGAGAAAGACATTAGATATTATAGCCAGACTAACTGATATTGGGACTAGTATCTGCCTCATCCTGAGGTAACAAACACAAGCCAGAAAGAGAAGGGAGGAAATCAGTATAAGCATGCATAGGATTGGCATTGCTACAGATTGGCTATGTTTGAAATGAACTGATTAGATCTTTAAAACTGAGTGATGCACATTTGCAAACCTGAAGTTTCCATTAGTGCAAAACCAGAACTTTTAAGAATTTATCCTGGTCCCAGAAAAGTTCCCTGAAAATGCCACCTTAGTTACCCATTGGCTTCTATGAACCTTAAACATTTTGTCTACAGTTTTTGCTCCCCATATCCAGGAATATATTTTCAACTATCTCAGTTACATATAGTAATCAGTGCCATAAACCTATGTAAATGTGTGCTAAACTTTATGGATGACTTGACATTACCTCAACTGATAGAGGGACCCATATTTTGAAGGCGCCCCCCTTCAGAAGGGTTTTCTAGCAATCGTTTAGAAATAAGTGTCTCAAAATTCCTCTTCTGAATTAATATAGGAGCAATTCAATCACTTTTGGGGATACACTATTTCCCCTCTATTTGGGGGTGAGGAAGAAATCTTCTCCCTTGGACTACTAGCTGGCTTGTTAAGAACTCCTGTAATGTCCATTTCAATGTCCCCCTGCCCCAGTTGATCAGTCACTGAGTCAGCCAATAGGGGCAAGCATCTTGAATTCATAGAAAATCTGAGAATAATCTGTATGAGTCTTCCTCAAATTCTTGCCCTCTGGATATTTTGGGCTAGAACTCACATCACCCCTGATCACTGACCATGCTGTCTGGGGCTGTCTGGGAAGGCTGATCTGGATTATCTCTTTTGGCACCACCTTTCTGAACCAATTTCTATGTAAAAATGTCTGATTATCCTTCCTATTATGTTTTTGGCACCACCACCCTTTTAAATTAACCCCTGTTGATCAGTGTAATAATATCTGGTGTTTGGTCCTTCCTGCACTTACCTCACTGTTGAAGGAAAGGCACTATTGTCATTTTTTCAGCTGGAACTCACCAGAACTCAGTTCCGGCAGCTCTCAGGTGAGTGCCATTGCCATTACCATCGTACCTTGGATCTCAAACGCCTTGGCTCCCGAACAAATTGGCTCCAGGACAATCAAAACCTGGATGTGAGTGTTCCAGTTTCCGAACAATTTTTGGAAGCCAAATGTCTGGTGTGGCTTCCGATTGGCTGCAGGACCATGCTTTGGTTTCTGAACGTTTTGGTAGTCGAACGGATTTCCGGAACGGATTCTGTTCGACTTCCAAGGTACAACTGTATAAGAGAAAAAGGGAGGTGTTCATGGTAAGTTCCGGCACCTCTTTTTTTAGAAAAACAGACTGCTCACGATGCACCTAAATGTGAGCAGCTCTGACACACTTACCCCCAGAGTCTTGGTCTCCATTTTGAGGAGTTTTTCCCATGTCTTCACATGCTGAGGTTGGTTGCTGGGGCTTCCAACCTGCTGGCCAACGTATGGCATGTATTGTGCTGCCCCTGCTGGTTGGATAACAGCACCAGGGATCTGCTCGCCTGCCTGGATTATGTTCGCAGCAATTGCAGGAATGTACACCACCCTTCCGCTAGCCATTCTCCCTTGATGCGTTGCCATTGTTTAGATATCGTCAAGCAAACTAATAAACCAAAGATATAAACAAAAGAAAAGGTGGTGGTGGGGAAACTCTCACTTTTGGGGACAAGTTACTAACGTACCCCCAACATGCACAGCCACATATTCATACATGATGCGATATATATACTAAAACTGAACCCATGAAATTGTGCTTCCTAGCAGTGGGTTGACTCATGAGTCAATGGTGCATTATTTGTGAGCAATTCCTATGCTGCTTTTTGTGCCTCAGGCAGCACACACAGGAAAATTCTTGGACAAGGGGAGATAAGGGACAGAAGGAAATAAACACCCGTCCCAAAAACTGTTTAATTAATGCCAGGAATGGCAATCAATTACTAGTAATTTCTTTTTTGTCTAAAGCAGAGTAGCCCAAACTACTAACACAGAACTTCCTTGTTATTCAGCCCTCCCTACAGTGGGAGTTTCAGTTTTCATACCATACCATATGAGGTATTGTCTCCTCTTTAGTCAGGATTGCATTTCACAACCGTAATGCTGCATAGTAAGTTTAAGTTTCAGAACAGTGGGAGAGCGAGTGTAGCAATAAAATGCATTTTGCGGTTAGGGGAGATTCACAGCAAGGAATCAAAGGCAAATTCTTGGCTATATTCAAGATTCACCTGCAAAAAAAAGGGGTGTATTTTAAGAGGTGTTTGAGGTTATTTTGTAATACTGTACTTCTCTCTCTTTCCGGGTGTGTAATTGGCATTCCTGAGGAAATTATCTGTATATATTTGGTACGCTGTGATGAATGCAGCTACCCTCAAACACTCCCTAAACAGAGTTCCTGATTTCAGCAGAGGGTTGCCAACATTTTACTGTGACTGTGCTCTTGTGCCTTTCATGGCAGCTTCACCTAAAGTGATTAGGAGGGGATCCTGCCCATGCAAGGGCACCATGTGCCTGTGCCCCATGTTGTGGAAAGCTCCTAGCGATTTCAGCAGATGTCGGTAAAGGCACAGGTGTCATTTTAAAAATCAGTTACTCTGTCGCAGGGACCCATTGGGGAGGCGTCCACATTATTCTGCATCCATGTTGGCTTTCTCTTCTTCTGATCCGTTGAAACTTTTCGCCACACAGGCCTCCATGCCCGAGGTGGCCACAGATCACAGCTTTAGCCGTTATCTTTACGAGGATTTCCCATGGGGGAGAAGGAACTTCAGTGGTTCAATCAGTCACTGTATAGCTTTAAATCCTGACTGTAAAGATTCTTATCGGAAGAGTTTGGCCCGCTCTCTCTGCCACTAACAAAGCAAAACTAACAATGCATCTTGTGTGCCGTACAATTGCTGGGAAGAACTGGCAGGAAAGGGCACTTAAACCTGTCCCAGCTCACTGCCTCTCGCCTCTAAACAGTGGCGTAGCGTGGGTTGTCAGCACCCGGGGCAAGGCAAGTAATTTGCGCCCCCTAACCCGTGGATTTGCGCCCCTTAACCTGTGGATTTGCCCTAACCCCAGATGTTGCGCCCGGTGCGCCCGGGCCCCCCTGCACCCCCCACGCTATGCCACTGCCTCTAAATGCCCCCTACCTGCATTTCAGGAAAGAATTGGTAGGCATTTTAGAAAGGGTGAAGCACCCCTCTCTGCCCACAGTTCCTCCCCAGCAAATTATCCCTCCCTTGCCTCTCCCTTAGTAACACCCATAGCTGCAACACACACCTAAATATTTTTACAGTACCTGTTTCTGCCCTTCTGCTTATTCAGGAGTGAAGGCAGAAGCTCTTAGCTCATGTTCACGAGCTCCTTCATGCCTTTCAGAGGAGGAGAGTTGCGGATCAAAGGGAAGCACTCTTCCCCAAATTAAGATAACGCTCTCCAGATGTACTCACGTTACACCGGCAGCTCCGTGTTCCTTCAGCAGGGAGTGAAAGGCACAACACGAAGAATTTGGCCAGCCTCGTCTTGGCCTCCCCATCCATTCCCCTTTCGGGGAAATTCGCTCCTTTTGTTGTGACGCGCATCTGGCTGCAGCCTCTTTCCCCACCCCGGAGAGTCTTTCCATTCCATTCCTGCCAGGGAGATTCTGAATCCAGACCAGAGACAGCCTTGAGGAGCTGTGAAGCTGCGCAGGGGCCTCTTGTTTAACTTGTCAGGCCCCACATAGCTTTGCAAATGTGCCAGCAGTTTTATTGCTCAGATGTCCCACTGAAAATGGGGTGGTTGGGGGATGAGGGTGGGGAGATATCCTGCACCACAAGGTTTGATGAGGCCCTAAGCTACTGAAGGTAAAGGGGCCCTTTATATGTCCAGCTGTCCTTTGTCAACAACAAATTGTCACTGTTTTTTGTGTTGAATATATGCTATATGGTAATGCATGGACCTAATAGGTATCTAAACCATTTGCACATGTAGAATGTAGGCACCTTATATATAGTAATGAGCAAAGCAGTGATATTTTAGGGAGCAGGCTAGCAGGCGGGGCCCATTACTTACATCATAGAATCATAGAGTTGGAATAGACCACAAGGGCCATCGAGTCCAACCCCCTGCCAAGCAGGAAACACCATCAGAGCACTCCTGACATATGGTTGTCAAGCCTCTGCTTAAAGACCTCCAAAGAAGGAGACTCCACCACACTCCTTGGCAGCAAATTCCTCTGTCAAACAGCTCTTACTGTCAGCAAGTTCTTCCTAATGTTTAGGTGGAATCTTCTTTCTTGTAGCCTACACAACACAAAACACTGTTGCTGTATGTAGGTTTTATTTTATTTGTTTTTTATCTTGTATTTTAGAGATGTACATCCAGTTTGTTTCCTTTAAATGTTGTTTGGGGGCCCCAAGAGAGTGGGGCCCTAAGCTATAGCTTGTTTAACTTATACATAAATCCCACACTGCACAAAAGCATGCTTGTGTTCTTTACAATTTGCAGTCAACTGAGTTAGAGGCAGCACTTAACTCCACTAACCAGAGAGGGGCTGGGCCCTTGATCTATGTGGAAGTATCAGTTGGTATCTTGATTGGATTAGGCATTATTTTTGTATATGCAATTAATTAATGTAACTCTCACCAAAATGTCCTTGTGCTACGCTTGTTTTTATGCAGGGAATCATTTTGGCTGTTTTTTATACATCCTGTTGTGAAACCACTTCAAAATTTCACTTAATAGAAAGCAGTTCATAAATGAAATAAATAATAATATTAAGCCCTGCTTCTGCATGTTAACTGTGTCAGAGGAGGGAGGCTGTGATTGTTCAGTGTGGGGTGGGGAGCAGCAACTCAGCAGCACTTTCTCTTATGTAACTGTTCTTCCTCCTAAGTCTGGCCTTCAATTCAATAGCTGTTCTTGGGAGGCTCATGTGAGGAATATGCTGCTTTTCCATTATTATTTTTTAATATTCAGGATGCTTTTAGCAATGCCTTTTGTAAAGGCAGGTCTAGAGACCTCAGTCCCTAAATTTGCCATTTTAGAAGGATATTTTTAAGCAGCTACCTGAGAGAATTAGGATGCACAGAATCTGATAAGGATTGCAAAAGCTCTAAGATGACAGATATACATAGCAGAACTCTTGGCGAAAATGCTAGCCTGTGGTTGAGACCCAGATATGAAGGCTGCATATACCTGTGACTAGTGGTTAAAAGGGACGCGGGTGGCGCTGTGGGTAAAAGCCTCAGCGCCTAGGGCTTGCCGATCGAAAGGTTGGCGGTTCGAATCCCCGCAGCGGGGTGCGCTCCCGTTGCTCGGTCCCAGCGCCTGCCAACCTAGCAGTTCGAAAGCACCCCCGGGTGCAAGTAGATAAATAGGGACCGCTTTCTAGCGGGAAGGTAAACGGCGTTTCCGTGTGCGGCTCTGGCGCGCCAGAGCAGCGATGTCACGCTGGCCACGTGACCCGGAAGTGTCTCCGGACAGCGCTGGCCCCTGGCCTCTTGAGTGAGATGGGCGCACAACCCCAGAGTCTGGCAAGACTGGCCCGTACGGGCAGGGGTACCTTTACCTTTAGTGGTTAAAAAGGGGTTTGTCCTTGCTACTAGGGATGGGAGAATATCAATTTTGGGTCCTCTCAGTTGTTAATTTCTCCAATCTTAAAATTCAGTTCCCCACATTAGTTTGCAATTGTTTAAAAAAGTCCAGATTGGAGTGGTACTATTAATCCCCTTGATGTGGACACTATACTTCTGTTGATGCAGCCTATAATTGCATTAGCCTTTTTTTGTTGCTGTATCACACTGTTGACTAAGTTTTGATTTACTAAGACCCCTAGAACCTTTATTTCAATATATGATTGCGGTGGCAAGACTTTTATAAGAACAAAGATGGAAAAACTCATAATTACCAACAACAGAGGAATAGTTATTAAAACTATTGAACTTAGCTGAGAGAGCAAAATTGACATGTTTAATCAGAGAAAAGTCATTGTTAACATATACTAAAGACTGGAAAACTCTTATAGAATTTTTGCGTGAAAAAGAAAATGAATAAATGACATTTGGGTTTGAGAACTGAAGATAATGTTGGTTTATAGAAAGTAGTTTTGGCAGGTGTTATATTGGAGTGGATGAGTTGAATAAAGTTGATATAGAGCTGATAGACGAAGAATCAGAAGTTCTTTATTTTCTTAACTCTATTTTTTCTCTTTCAATTCTTTTCCACCCCTCTCTTCTTTCCCCCCTTTCCTCTTCTTTTCCTTTGGGTTTGTGTTTTCATCAAGATTTTAGTTTTGATTTATTTTAAAAAGATATTTGATAATAATCTTTGCATTCCTCTTTCTAAATTCTAATAACATTTTATTTAAAATGGATATATGTGCCCAAAAAAAGACAGAAAAGCAAATGAGTATTAATTTCACTCCTTTAGCAGCATCTCCCATATACAACTTCTCCTTTAGATTCTTCACTCATTCTTGGGGAAAGAATCCACAGTACTGTAAGCTGGAGGAGGAGCAGAAGCTGGAGGAGGAGGAACACAGTTGCCTTCAGTGGGAGCCGTATCAACAGTGTAGGGAATATAAACCATTGCCTGTATAACAGAAGAGGAATTCATCAGAAGAAGACACATGCCATGTCATCACCATTGTCATAATCGCCATCCTGGCAGCATTCAGGGGCCGCCACCACTCTGGTCAACATCATGAATGAGGGCGAGAACATCACAGAAGGGGCAGGGCCAGCGAGCAATTCTGATTGTGTGAGGATCAGTGTTAAAATATCGGGAAAGGGCTGGAGCTGGCAGATTATCAATTTGCAACTGCACTTCCTGCTCTGCAGTTCTCCAAATCCTTCTGTTTTGCTCTAAAAGTTGCATGACAGGTAAATCCTGCCTAGGCAAACTGGGACAAGGAATAAAGCCTTTGTCCCCATATTCTACTACTGCATAGTGTGCCGCTACATGTTGGTGTAGTGTGAACAATGGGTTTAATCACACAGTGCTTGGGCTCATGTCTTGAGGAGCACATCCCCCACGTCTGGATGTTCTGAGATAAGGGTGCCAGACTTTGGCAAGATCTTACCAGAAGTCAGCGCTGGCACAAGCGTTCTGCAGGTGCCACAGCTGGTGCTTTGTGGACACCCCCATGCCATGCAGGCAAGAGGGGGATGGTGCTGGTGGGGTGGCAGGGGCAAGGGGGTAAATGAACACAAAAATGTCTGGGACTTCCTTCTTTAAAAAGATTCCTGCCCTCTCAGCCGAGTTTAGAGATAAACTGGGTTATTTGTTTGGGGTTCGTCTTTCCTCTTAAAGGAGTGTTTATGATCAACACTGGATTCAAAGCACTAGACTCCAGGTATGAACATCTATCTGTGCAAGTTTACTCATGAGAGAAGTCCTCGGTAATGGGGTGTGATTTTTCTTCGTTGTATTGTTTCATGTGTTCAGGGAAAATATTCCACACACTTTAACACTTTTATAACAGTGATAAAGTAGTGGCAAAGACCTGTAGGTTCTCTGGGCAAAAAATGGCTGGTAAAGTTGTTGGTTATGAAGCTTCCTTGGTTATGAAGCTCGCCAGTCACTCACTTTCACCTTGAACTACCTTCCAGGGTTGTTGTGAGGATATATGTGGAAGTGGTGGGTGGCTCTTTGGACACAGGGTGGGGTGGAAACATAATCTTTAAAGGAATAATCCTCTCCAAACCTCTCAACAAGATCTGCTTAAACTTTAAGCAAGGTATCAAATGCTTACCGGGTCATTGGAACAGCAGGTTAACTGGCACCCAAAATGTGCTAATGAGACAGCAATGAAGAACTCCAGAAAGCTGAACAAGAGGAGAATAACTGCAAGCCCAGTACTTACAGCCTGTGGAGCACAGAAGCGGGTAGAAGGTCATTTATCATATAATAATAATAATAATAATAATAATAATAATAATAATAATAATATCTTTATTGTCAGTTCAAAGTACTGCCAATTAAGTTTAGTTGCAACATTAAAAAGTGTCCTAGTCTCCATCTTCTATGTAACCTTCTGGGAATCAGCCTAGGAAAATCTGCTGGTAATGGTGATGATTTTGAATAATTAGATTAAAGCGTTTGCTTCACATACAAATACCTCTTGAAACGTACAGTTGTAAAACCAAGGATAGAGTACAGTGCCGTAGCTACTGGGGTTGGGGGGGGGTTAGTTGTCTGCCCCCCCCCTCGGGATGAAGCCTCCAAAAGGGCACCACTGAGGCTCCCAGCCTCTGTGTGTGTTTACGCAAATGTGCTGGGTCTTTGACCTGGGTGAAATAAGACCTAGTTTCACCCTTGGTGAATTTGAACCTGGGCAGAGACCCTCATAGCATGTTTGTGTTTTGCAGTATCCCAAAGCAGGGCTACCAACCCAGGACCGACACTGTTTGGTAGGCAGTGGAACCTGGAATGCCCTCACACAACTCTAAACATGGTCATTTGAGCCTCATTTAAAGGCTCTATTATGGGATATCTGCAAAAGAACAACCCTGTGCACATTCTCGTTAGTTGGGTTTTCATTTGTATGAGACCAGACAAAGGAAGAGCCAATTTGAGTCTCACATCCAAAAATACCCTCTTTGTTAACCCTCCTATGTCATTCGCAACACATCCTTGTGAAGGAAAAGCAGCAGCTGGGAAGAATCCTAAGGAGCAGAAATGTCAGTGCATTTATGCATGAATTTAAGGTATTTGGGCACTCCAAAGTCTGCCCTGAAATGAACACCACCCCTT